CTTTTTATCAGGAATAATCAAAAACAAGGTAAATCCTGCTTCTAAGTGCTATCTAATAGAAAAGCGGGACCATAAATACATTATGATGGGTCTTCATCCACTTAGTCACTGGATCTGGCACTGTGAAACTTCTTGTTCTTCTCAAAATGACCGTGAAAAGTAAATATTGTGAATCATTCAGGTCATGGAGGTAGCCATGACACCACAAATAAAGACCCCCATGAAAGAGGACTTCCAGAACTGCTTCAGAAAGAAGCAAGAGCATTGGGGTAAATGTGTTTGAAGTAAGAGGAAATATTTTGAGGGGGATTAATAATAATGCTTCCTTTACCGTGATTACATTTTTAAAATTTAAACATTCACCCTATTTTTCAATCACACCTCCTATTGAGAGCCCAGGTATTGTGGTAGGATATAAAGGGATTCTTTTTAGGACACTGATGGGGACAGCCAGGTAGAGAGATGAGTCAGGGCAGTTTCTGGGACCTCATGACCCTCAGTCCCTCTCTTGCACTTTCTTTCCCCTGTCCTTCCCATCACTGCTCCCCAGGGAGGAAAGGCCCAACTTTGAGCACAACAGTGTCCCCTGCCCAAGGAGCCCTGGCTGTCCTCCCTCACAGGAGGTCTCTGAGGCTCACCAGGAGATCTGTGGGCATGAGTCCACCTGATCTGCCTCCTGCAGAAACTGGGCCCTCCAAGCACACACTTTGGGATGGCCCACAGCCTACAACACGCCATTCCTTCTGGCCCTTGGGCAGGTTACCTGTCTTATCTCACCCCCTTTTATGTCTTCCATCTGGCAGGGTCAAAGGTGGTGCCACTTGCTAGGGTTCTGCAAGGATTAACTATGAGGCATGGACAGTGTGTGACAGGCCAGCCAAGATGGTTAAGGGTGGTTGCGTCAGGATTTGAGCAGCCCCTGACCTCACTGGACCCACTGAGGGCCACAGCCTGTCTCCCTAGAAGCGATAGACAGCTTGGCACACAGTAAGTGCTCATTTGGTGTCTGTTAATTGACTCCATGCAATATAATTCACATGACCAGTGCTTACCTTGGCTCTTCTACCCAGCATGCTTTTCCCCTTGGCTGGCTTCCTCTCATCCTCCAAGTTCCAACTCAATATCACTTCCTCAGAGAGGTCTTCCCAAGACAGAGATCTGCAACATCCCTGCCCACCCAAGTCTCTCTGTGTTCTATTGCTTAATTTTATTATCTTAATAACAGCACTTTCACCTAATGACTACTTCTGTAGTTTCTTGTATTTTTCTGGCATTGAACACCAGGGGAGGAATTGCCCCTGACACTTGGCGCTGAAGGATATGTCACCCCTATGATTCCTGCGTGAGTTCGTAGCCCCTATAAACACTGTTTGAGTAACCACAGGATAATTCAGTGGGAAATACAGCTAGCATGCTGACCCTCATACCAAGCATTCCTTACTTTTTGAAGATGCTAAACTAAGAGCCAGGGTACTATGCTTCCAAGTTGCCGACCTCAGTAGCTATGAGGACTCCTGAAATCTCTCCAAGGAACCAAGAGTTTCTCAGAACTGAAGAGAATGGAGGAGGCAAATCTCAGGGAAAACTAACTTTTCATGCGACAAGGGCCTCCTGGCATCTCTTTACCTGTGGCTTTATTACCTTCATTAGTCAAGGCAGGCTGAATCAAACTGCGGTAACAAATATCCCCAACACCTTCAGGTTCAAGCTGGTGGAATCTGTCTCAATATGAAGACGGGATAGAGCAGAGCATTCCTGGCTTTAAAGGTCCATCGGGACCTGACACATATGGCTTCCTCCATAGCTCATGGGCCAGAACCAGTCCTATGGCCTCACTCACCACTCACAGGAGCTGGGAGTGCAGCCCAATCAGTATTCAGGGAGCAGGAAGCCGGCCACACTTGATGAAAGTACAAATGACCACCTTCCTGTGCTTCTGTTTGCCCTGAAGAAACTAGAAAGGAAGGTAACACTGAGAACTAACTTATTAAGACCATCTGGCTGGGGATTTAGCTCAGTGGCACCACACCTGCCTGGCAAGTGCAAGGTCCTGAGTTCAATCCCTGGTACCAAAAAAAAAGTGTCTGCTCTGCCTGGAGTGTTCAGAGCAGGTTTTGTGCATTAATCCCATCCTATAGCAGGAGAGGAAACCTGCTAAAAAGCAGACATTGCTCAGCAGGATCATGAATGGACATGCAGAGGACACATAACCCCAGCACTAGTGGCCTTTGCTCTCAACCACTGGACAGTGTTCCCTAGGTGATGCAGACCACAGCACTAGGACTCCATAAGGGACACTAGACATGAGGCTTAAATTCTCTGAACTTTACTTCCCCATTTGTGAGACTAGGGATTTAATTCCTGCCCTATTCACTGTCTCAGAGTCAGGAAGGAATTTTGTGAACATGCACACACAAAAAACACAACACTCAGCTGGGAGATCTCCAGGGAATCTTTCCCACCACACCCCTTGGAGGCTGAGGAGAGGTGTCCTGTAACCCATTCTATAGGCGAGAGAGGGAACCTGAGGGACAGCCTGCCTGATCCAAGGAGAACTGTGTCCCACCTCCCAATAGTGCTGTGTGGATGCCAGGATTTCAGAAGGTTAAGGGGGGTGGACATGCCATTGGAAGCTTTCTATTTTGTCAAGTCAACAGCTACTTATAATCACCACAATTTCAAGACACAAAGGGCAATGTGAGATCAGAGGAGTGGAAAAGGTATAATTTCAGAATTTTAAAAAGCACCCTTTAAATTAAGTAAGTATAGCTCTACAAAATATCACTTCTGTCTATTTTCTCCCACTTTGATGCAGGTCAGGGCAAGAATCAGCACTAACCACACACAGCCCATGAGAACCAAGGAGCAGTCTTATCATAGACTTTGGAGGCAGGGGGCTTTTGACCATGGCAAAGGGGTCCCCTTTGGCAAAGAAGGAGCTGGTGCCTAGCCATGAACAACTGTCTAAGCATAGAGATAGAGAACCAGAGGCAGGGCTCCCATATTCCTGTTTCTCACCTGGAATCACCTACACCCACCTCCCCAGAGCCACGCTGCCATTCCATCCTCACTGCAGTAGGGTGGGTTGTGGGTTGTGGTTGTAGGATAAAGATAGTCTTCATTCTCTCTCCTCTCATCTCACAGCCTCCTCCTCTGCCCCTCGGAGAAGCCACAACCCTGTTCTCCTGTAACTTGGGCTCCTGGCCCCCTGAATCTGTGGACTGGGGCATCCACAGCTGCCTCCGTGAATAGTAGGTATAGTTGTTAAAAAGAAATTCCTCAAGCTCCTTCTCCTTGTTTATCTGCTCTTGATTAAAAGGCCATAAAGAATTGATTTTCCAAAGACCTAATAACCAGGAGCGATGGACATATATGTAATTTAATGACAACCACAGAACCATCTTTCATGGCAACAGTTGTCCCTGGGGCTGCCACTCGATGACAGAGTGGAGAAATGAGCCTTGTTAGCACTATGCTATCATTTCCAATCCTAGCCTCCTGGTTGCCTCTCTGGCCAGGCTTGGGCTAGTCCTGCAAAGAAGGTATTCATGATTTCACAGTTTGAAAGAGGAATTAAGAGGGTTTAGAGTGGGTTCCCAAGAACTAGGGAGGGAGGCAGGGTTGGACTCTTTATTCAGCTGTCTTTCTACCCAGATAGTGCATTTACCAACGATTCCTGATTTAATTGGGATATTTTGGTGGCAAGTAACAGAAGCTCAGCTCAAACTGACTCAAACAATAACAGGACTGAATAAGAAAGGAGTGACCTGAGCTTCAGACAAGCTAGATATAGGGGCCTGATGGTGTGGCTGGGAATCTGTATCTCTGTTTGTAGCTTCCTCTTCATCGACTTCCTTCTTGGGGAAGGCGTGACCCTACTTCCTGGTTGAGGGCACCAACAGTACCAGGCTTAGACTCCAGCTGAGCAAATCCAGCTGCAAAGAAGACTTTCTCCTTTCTACTGCTAGCTCCAGAAGAGTTAGCTTGGTTTGTGTTGAGTGCACGCCTGGTATATTTGACACTTAGTAGGTTCCAGATCCTGTGCTGGATTCTGAAGACGTGAGTATAAAAAAGACATGCTACCTTTTTTCCAAGGATCTCACAGCCCTGCAGAAAGAAGTGTGGCAGTTAACAGACAATGTTGGGAATAACCCATGTTCAGTGGTGCTCCGTGTGAGAGGCTGGGGATTGATCATAGGGCAGAGTCTTTACAATTCATTCATTTTTTCTTTTGATCACAGAATCCTTCAAGTCTCTGGCCCAAACGTACATTCCCCAGCACAATGTTTAAGAGCTGGGTTCCAGCCGGGGATTTAGCTCGGTGGTTCCAGCACCTGGCTCATAAGCGTAAGGTCCTGAGTTCGATCCCCAGTACAAAAAAAAAATCAAAGAGCTGGGTTTCTGTAGCTTGACAGATATGCATCTGAATTCTGGCTCTGCCATGTAGGAGCTCTGGGAACTCAGAAAGTGGATCAACTACTCTGTGCATCTCCTATACAATGGGGATAGAAATAACATCGACCTAACAAGGTTATTCTGAAGACTCAGTGAGATGATGTACATGAGGCAATAACTCAGTGCCAATATGTAATAAGAGCTAAATAAATGCCTTTTGTTAGCACTTATATTCTCTGGTGGCAATCAGACTGTAGGGGTGTGAAGATCCTCTCCATGGGAGGAGGCTCCTAAATGTCCAGCTCAGGGCTGGGTTTTCCTGTGCAGGCAAAACTCCACCAAACAGTCCTGGGGGCAGAAGTTGTCACATTAGGAGTTTGATGTCTCTTGGAAATTGACTCCAAATGTCCCCGTACTAGGGAAGAGATCCAGGTAGACATGAGAACTGGAGGGGCCTGAAATGGTCCTAAAAATCAAGTTCCAACCACAGAACGTGGGGTCCTAAGCCAAGGAAGAGAAGCAAAGTGATAAGAGGTGGAAGGAATATGTTTGGAGAGGAGGTGTCACTTAGAAGAAGGGGTTCATGAAGAGTCAGGGCAGCTTACCTGAGGGGAGCTATGTGGAGACCACTGACATAGTGCCAAGTTTACTTTGCTCAGAGCTCATTATTCATCAGGGACTGCAGACCTGCAAGAGGAGGGAAAAAACCATGACACCCCAGCACATACCTCAAGAAACACTACAGACACTCAGTTTACATACCCACCAGGAACCACTTCACAGTATTTCCAAAACTAAACCCAAGTCTTTCCAGAACATGTGGAACTCTAGTTTTGCATAGCTTCTTCGCCCTCCTAAGATGCTGCTTGCAACACTCCCTGCCAACAGGATAAAATCCAGCTTTCTTAGGCTGGCATTCAAACCCCTCCATGGCATCTGTCTACAGCTTATACTCACAAGGCCTTTCAAAGCAGCATTGTTGGCCACCCCTCCATAACTCCCAACCTCTCTAATGGGGCCAGGCAGGCAGAACCTCTGGACTTAACTTCCTTTAAGGCAGCAGGGTGTTTATAGGAACAGCCAAGACAATTTTAGAGAATGTTTTAAGGTTTTGACTGAAAAACAGTTAAATGTATATAATCCCTTACTGTTAATTACCGCTTCTGTGCAGTCTGCCCTTGTGTGAGGTGTGGAGAGCAGTCACCCTGGCTGGGTCTAAGAAACAGAAACTTCCCGGGACATCTCAGAAGTATAGGGAGAAAGCAGCACAGGGACTTGGCCATAAGAACCGAGGAGAGGAAGCAGGAACAAGTCACCTGCCTCTGCTCTGCCTGTGCTTTCTCTGGGGCCTGCCTGCGCACACAGTGAAACGTGCCAGAAGCTCAAGGATACCCTCCTTCTGCTCTCAACCATGTGCTATCCTCAGAGTTAAGGCCAAGACTCTCTTTCCTGAGCTTATTACACGTGGTTGATGCTCAGCAAATGTTCTTTAAATGGATGTGAATTAAGAGAGAACCAATCTGGGAAAGACAGAGTCTTAACACCCTCTCCTCAGCTGGAGAGCCTCAAAGTTTTTACAGAACAAGTCCCTAACTATGTGGCTTAAGATCTGTCCCTGTCCTCATTCAGTGCTCAGGACAGGAAATCTGCCTTGGATCTGGGGAATTAATGCATTTGAAAGTTTCATCAGCACCAAACACCTGAGGAAAACCCTTGCAGGGGGTCTGCTAAGTATGTGCCTCATTGTCTGAGAGCAGTATCCATGCACAGATGGGACTTTGGACAGCCCAGGATACATGAATGGATCTGTTGGTCATACCTAACTGGACACTCAAGGCCACACAACAGGAAGGAATGCTTGACAAGGAGACATATATTGTTCTGGGCTAAGCCGTTCAGATCCCCCCATTTTGAGGACAGGGATGAGAGTCCCTGATCAGTTTCTTTTTGTGCTTGACCTGGGAGCCATGAAGGGCTGTCTATTTTCCATCTTGAAAATGTGGACAGAGAAGGTCAGACTGCAGTGAGAGAAGATGAAAAGAAACAGAGGAAAGAGAGAAGAGACAAGAAAGAAGGAACCCACCTACTGAGGCCAGCCAATGCCCAGCTCCACAGGTTCCCCAAGCTCCCACTGGGTCCTTCCCATTGTCCTTCTTTCTGATTAAACCAGCTTGGGAATTTTTTATCCTTTGCCCTCAATTATCCTGAAGATAAATCCCAGCCGTTTCCACTGCCCACAACAGATTCCTGGGAATAATCAACAAGACAAGAATTGAGCTTCTACCACTTGAAGCAATTCTGCAATCCATTCTTCACCTGATCTCCTGCCTGCCCAAAGACCCCAAGTTTGGCACCATGTAGGATGGGCACAGTGCGAGGTTAAACAAGATCCAGCCCTTGGCCAGCCCAGAATGAGATGCTCAAGAAAATACACTGTGTGTGTGTCACTGGCTTCTTGATTAGCACGGGACTGAGCAGTTAGCATATTTCACTGCCATTTGCACAGCACATCTGTGTGTGCTTTAGTCCAATAAACAGGCATGGTATGCTTCTTGGGCCAGTATTTCTTTTGTATTTACTGTTTTGCTTTTGCTTTTGTTTTCTTAGTTTAAAAAACTAGCTCATCAGTTTGCCTTGTGCTGATCTACTCGCAACTCCTGACATCCACTTTCCCATCCTGCCTCTTCTCCTTTAGGAGCATTTGTCATGCATCCTCTTATTGGAAGGAGAAACTCAGTGTGACAGTTTGGCCCCACTGTGATTTCTCCCCTCTGCCTGCAGCTTGGATCCCCTTATGCTCCACTGATGGCCTTTTCTTTATCTGCCAGGGGTAGCTCCAAGCAAGCTCCTCCTTGGAAAGGCAGATCTTAAAAGCATTTTCTTTCTTGCTTCCTCTATATAGTGGTTTTAAATAGTTTTTAAATACACCCAAAAATACTTTGACTTTGCCTCTTCAAAAGGTAAAGTCTAACCCTCCTCCCCAAATGTAGGCTGTACAAATGTAGGTTGTACTTAACAGCACCTCTAACAAACAGACTATGGAGAAAGTAGTGCTGTACAGTTTCCAAGGGTTCTTGAACTCAAAAGATCTAGCTTCTGCCTGGATCTTCCTCTCACCCTCCATCTCCCTCTCCCTTTCTTTCTCCCTCTCTTCTCCCTCTTCCTTTCCCTCTCCCTCTCCCTCTGCCTCTTCCTTTCTCTCAGACTGCTTGATCTGAGAAAAGCCAGCTGCCAGGTCAAGAGAACAGTCAAGCTCCCACTAACACCCAATACCACCTTGGAAGTTCATCTTCAGCCCCAGTTCCGGAGACACCCTCAGCCAGAACCACCTGACCACGCTATGGCAAATTCTTGAGCCAGACACTCTTGACTCAGGAACTCCATGGATAATAAATGGTAATGGTTGTTTTAAGCCTTTCATTTTGGGGTCACGTGTGATGCAGCAAGAAATAATTAATACAAACAGAATCTTCCATTGCAATGAGGTCTGAGTCACACATCTCTGCACACTGAAAACAAAAGCACTTCCGTTATCTCAGAATCAGCGTTAGTAGGCTACTGAGAGATAAAGTTTAACTGCATTGCTACCCGGTGACCTCATGTTTGGCCAGTGCGGTGGTCCAGCTTTGGTCTGTGTGGCCCAGCTAGATCCATACATCCACAGTCATTAGCTGACAATGTCCAGTGGGGCATGGTAGCCAAGATTGTACAAGCCTTGTCTGGGATTCATGGTTTCTTTGGGAGAAGCATGACTGAGCCCAGAGATGTCACTGTCACCAAGTCCACAAATACCCACACTGAAGCCTCTTGTTACAGACTTCCCTCTGGTGCAGGGTCAGGACCTGAGCTATGGCCTGTGCTCTGAGAACCACAGCGCCAGGATTATGGCAGCTGGGGGCTATTGTAATGCAACCTGCTGGCTTCCCCAAGGTGTGCCTGGGCCAAGGTGTATGAGGCAGCATCATTCCCTCCTGACATAGGTTCTGGATGCCAGGAGGTAGGGGAGAGTGAAAGCGATCACATTCGTGCTGAGCCCAGGCCTCCAGCCAAGAGTGCTGGAGGCAGCCCAGCCTCTCATCCTCGTGGGCAATGACATATCTATCATCTAAACACTAAGCATGGAGCCTAGCACTGCCAGGGACACCTGCCAGCACTTGATGTGCCCTTATGGGCCTCCCATTATAAGGGGACAGACATTCAAATCAATCCAGCTTAGCAAACATTGTCTGATCATCTACCGCATGTAGGACACAAGAGTAGCAGCTGGAAGAAAGAAGTTAATGTGGCTCCTGCCTTCCAAAGCACCACCTCTACTAAGTGCAGAAATGTAGAGTCATCAAGACAAAATGTGGACAAGATATAAACAGCAGTCTCTGCCTCTTCTGAGCACCCAGGAGTGGGGGCATTATGAAAGAGCCCCTCTGTAGCCTGTCTCTGAAGAAGTCATAAAGAAAGGCTTTTAATGAGGAGCAACAGCAGATATCAACGTAGAGGTGCAAAAGAGCAGATACTGAGTATTTGTGGCCATAATTTTATTGCAGCCGTAGGTTATCTAGGTCAGCTAGTACCACCAAAATGCTGTGTAACAAACAGCTCCAAACCAGCATCAGTTACAACAATAAGCATCTGTTTCTTGTTCAGAGACTTGCTGGTTGGCTGAAGCATCTCTGTATTAGATTTCATCAAAGTCAAGTCATCCACATGTCTCTCCTTCCAGGACTCAGGCTGAAGGATCAGCAGCTACCTAGAGAATACTCTTCTCAAGCACAAAGCAGAAGTAGAAGAGACCACTTTGAAGGTCTCAGGCTAAATATGACATGCTTTGTATCTGTTCACATCCCATTATTTATAGCAAGTCATATAGCTGACACCAAAGTCATGGAACAGGGAAGTATGTTCTGCTCACAGTAGCCCATAGCAAGTGTGGGGAGGGAGCAAAACCTTGTGAACAAATAATATAATCCTAGCCAAGAAGTCATAGGAGATGAAACAGAAGATAGTCACTGGAGCACTGTGTGGAATATACTAGCTGGTTATGCACCAAACTATTTTTGTTTACTCTTTGGGGTACAAAATCAGATGGAATTTCCCAACTTCCTTTGTACTTAATGTCTAAAATCTGGCCAATGGAGGGCTGTAGAAGTGATGGGCTCCATGTCCAGGCACAGCCCATAAAAACCTCCCACATAACCTTCCACTCTTTTCTCACGTCTGGGTAGACATGCACAATCTAGCAGAGTGATGTGAAGTCCACAGTGATGCCAAAGCCTTGATATGAAAAGAGCCTGGGTCTCTGAGTCACTGCTTGGAGGAGAGCTATCTAGAAAAGCCACTTGACCAGTCATGCATACATTGGTCTCTTTCAGGACTTGTAAGTAAACCTACACGTTAGACCTCTGGAATTTGTGACATACTTGTAGCAGTTAATTTACCTTACTATTACCCCATGTCACAGAAGCTCATCATGTGTGGCTGAGACACACATAGACTTGGAGCCAGGTAAGCCTGGATGGAATGTGCCTTCACACTGTTCAGTGGAATAACTTTAAACAAATTGATTAACCTCTCCCCCAGGTCTTAGATTTTCATCTTTAAATGGGATCCAGAATCCCTGCCTCTGTCACTGAAGCAGGTGGGGTATTCTGCTGAGCCCTGGCAGGTTGCCCTGTCAGTCTAGAAGTTTACGAAAGATTTTTAAGGGTCAGCAATATGGCGTGTCAAGGGTTATGTCTTGCTGGGGGTGGGGTGGGAGGGGAGCTGGATGGCCCCCTTGGGTGGGGCCTGGGACAACCCACACTGGAGGGTCACCAGGATGCTGCTTGTCCAGAGCTTTCCATACATTTATTAGAACCCAGCAAGAAAGAGAGGCACAAACCTCTCTTCCCAGCTTGCCACTGATCCCTGGCCCCTGAGGTCATCGATCTTGCAAAGGGCACTTTGGATCCCACTGCTGAACCTCAGTCTAACCCGGCAGACAGAGGATCTCTCAAGATAGGCTACACAAGCAGGGTCTGTGAGGACCAAAGGCCTAGGAACAGGCACTAGTGCAAAGAAGCATTGGGCCTTGAGTCTAGGTGGCCAGATAACAGTTTGTCGTCTTTTTAAAATCAGTGTGTGCTTGCAGTACATAATACATTCATTTGGGGGATCATATCTTGGTCATGTTTGACCCCTACTCTCCCTTCCCTACCCTCCCGCTCCTCCTGTTTCTTGGTCTCCTTCTCCACCTCCAAAATGTCTCCCTTCCTGTGTCTATTATCTCTTCCTTATTTTACTCTGTATTTATATCTTGGGTTTCTCATATAAGAGAAAGTTCAGGATGTTGAACTTTCTTTGACTTATTTCATATAACATTGTGGTGTCAAGCTCCACCCATCTTCCTGCAAATGATATGATCTCATTCTTCCTTTTGGCTGAGCAATACTCCATTGCACATAGACACCACAGCTTCCTTATCCGCTACTGTTGATGGGCACCTAGACTGTTTCCAGAACATAGCTATTATGAATTGCACTGCTGTAGACAGGCATTAATCTTGATTTTGTTTGTTTGTTTGTTTCTTGTTTCTGAAAAACACAGAGGAAGAGAGCACAGACTCTAGAGATTTTTAAACCCCAGTGTTGCCACTCACTTCCTGTGTGTCCTTCAGCAGCACCTTGTCTTGCCTCCCCTTAGTTTCCTCAAGGCAAAATAATGACAACCACAGTCCTGTTCTTTCTGGAGATTCTTGAGGCTGACATGAGTTAATATTTGGAAAGTACATAGAGTCGTGCCTGGGACATACTAAGGGCCACAGGAGTGTTTGTTAAATGAATAAAACAAATAGAAGACAGTGAGCAAGGAAGAGACAGGAAATGAGAAATGGGGGTGGGCTCAAGGCAGGAATAGGGAAGGAAAGAGAATAGAGGAATACAGGCAGGCCACCGGGTAGGCAGACAGACAGACAGACAGGAACAGACAAGCAAGGAAAAAAATAAACAAGTGGCTAAAGAAAAATGAGAGCAAGAGTCCCAGTGAAAGTGGAAAGGGAAACCCAAACCAAAAATAGTCCCATTAGAAGGGAACACAAACATAGCACTCCTGGTCTAATTACAAAGCTCCAGCTGGCCAGGTGACCTTCCAGAGGCATCTGAGATTTTAAAAAAATATTAGAAAACACAGCACCATTCCCTAGAGAAGGGGGAAGGCTTTGCCATATCCCCTGAGCACAATGGGCATTGGCCTGCTTCAGAAAATGGCCCAGCTGCGAATACCCAGAAGCCTAGGGCACTCCACGTGTGTGGAGTGTGGACAGGAAAATGAGTAGATTCCATAGGTGGCTCAGCCATGGGAACTCTGGGACCCTTCTCCCAGGCACCCTAATTCTACCTTGGACCTGACCCCTCAGCCTACTCAAAGCTCCTGGGAAAGGCTTGGGACAAATCAGAAATTTTATTCTGATCTTTATTTCCAAATACAGCCAGGCTGACAAACTCTCTCTCTCTCTCTCTCTCTCCCATTTCAACCCAATGTGATTTCAAATGGCAGCATTATACACTCTCTGCAAAACGGGTGCTTGTAATCAAAGCACCAGCAGGTCTTTAACTCTAGGGGTACTCTTGGGCTTGGCAGTAATGACATTAGTGTATTTGGAGCTGTCAGGGGCAATGTCACTAATCTGGGTCTAGGAAGGAAGAGCAGTGATGAATGAATGGCATCTCCTGCCATAATGGGCTTCCCCGGTGGTCTGAGAGCCACCCTGCCTAGCAAGCCGCTGAAGCAGATTAATGGAGGCCTCTGCTGTGCAAAACAACAGCCCTCTCCCTGGAGCCCAGTTCTGCCTGGTGGGCTGGGGCAGTCCCGGTACCTGGGCAAAGAAAGGATGCATTGAGAGGTGCTGCAGAGACCTGGAAACACGGAAGACAGTGATGGTGAACCTTTTAGAGACTGAGCACCCAAAGAACAACCCCAAACCCACTTATTTATCGAAAAGTGCCAACACTGCAATTCAACCTGATACTGAGGTTTTGGTCTAGAAAAAAGTAACTCATACATTAACATCTTTTGTCTTAAAAAATAATAACAATAATAATACACGTGCCATAGATTCACTACCACTGACCTGGGCTGAAAAATGAAGCATCACCTGGAAAGAGTTCAAGAAAATGACCTGCCTGTGTTCACAAATACTACCCTGAAACTCTGGGCTGCAATCCCCCGTTTTCCCACCATGTCTTCCCACACCAACTCTCTTGATTTCATATTATAAATTATGTAATCATATAGGCAGACATATAGCTCCATGTCCTCATTTATAAAATGGAATAGTAACAGCCCAACTTATGGGGTGGTTACCAGGGCGACAGGAAATAATGGATTATGGTATTCCAAATAATTCAGACTGACACACAGAAAGGACTATTAGCTGTTGTCATTGTAGCAGTTATCATTACTAATTGTGATCATTATGTACTATTAATATCAATTGTAAAGGTGTACAGCATATTCTCCCAGGCAAACTAAATTCTCCAGAACCTGGGACTATTCTTACTTTTGTCTCTCAACCCAGACACAACAAGAAAATGCACTAAGGCGTGTTCTTTCTAGGCACTCTAGGAGGACATCCAGTCAGTGTGCTGCACCTGAAGGTGCTAAAACCCTCTGCCCTGGCCCTCAGGTGCCGCCACTTAACATTACCACCTCAAATAATCACCCCATGAGCTGGATGATAGAACCAGCAGAATCCCATTTTACCGCTGAGGGGAAAAAAGGATCAGGAAAGTTAAGCAGACTGAGAGGCTGATTTGGGTCTGAAATCAAGGAAGCAGAATGCTTCTCAACTTCGCTTCCAGCTCTGGCCTCTCCGCCCTTATCAAGACTGATGCAATCTGCTCCTTCCAGCAGCACCTGCCTCCCATGGGTCAGAAGGTGGATTTCCGTACTGGATGAAGTTGCTGGGGAAAAAAATGAATTCACAAAGGGGGAGGGAAGAGATCACTTCCTGAGGGGAGAGCCGCTGTGCTCAGTGTTTAGGAAGCACATGCACTTGAATTCACAGAAATACACATGGGCATAGACACACACAAGGACACACACAGGCATATACAAAAACAGGCAGTTGTGGTGTGTGCACAGACTCAGATGTGAGCACATGCACACAGAGAAGCATGAGCTCACAAGGGGATGCAGACAAAATCATAGGCGTAAGAACAGAGACACACAGAATCAATGTCTCTTTCTCTCTCTCTCTCTCTCTCTCTCTCTCTCTCTCTGCCTATGTATAGGATTTCACACACAAACGCACTGATTTCCAGCTGTGTGGGTACAAACAGGCAAGTGCCAGCAGGACTCTGAGCTCAGGAGCCTACACACAGCAGGCACCAAACTGCCAGGGGTTGGTTGGATGGACCTCAAACTGGTGAAGAAGATTAGCAAACTACTTTTCCACACCAAGGGCAGGCTCTGTAGAAATGGGAGGCCCTACAGGGAGGAGACTGACCAGGACAGCCAGAGGGGCCAGGACTGGCCAGAAAAACCCACAGGAAAGACCCTGCAACTCTGTGTCTGACCCTTCCTCCTCTCTCCTCCTCAGGGAATGTGGAGCAGGTCTGCGGTGGGCCCATTGGTTGGCAGATGGGAAGCAAGGCCAGAGAAGGTGCTCTTTGTCCCTCTGACTCTGTGTCTGTGTCTCTCACAGTCTGGCCACTGAAATTGGAATCACATATTTCATGCATCTTCTCGTCAACTTATTCCTGTGCTTCTTACTATCAGCATCTCACCCTGAAGCTGTTGCAAAGCACCCTCGTATCTGCTGTGAGCTCACCTGTCTGTACAAGTATGTGCCCTCCCTGGAAGGAACTGGCATTCTGCTGGTCTGGACAATCTCCTAGAAATGAGGAAGAGATGGAATGATCTAAAACTTCAGGGAAGTTGAAGAATATGCCACATACAAAGGAGTTTGTCATTTCAGCATGATTTTTCTCCCCTTCTGAGGGGTCCAAAGGAGCATGGTGAAGACAGAGTCTGCTATCAAATCTCTCCTGCTTTCTCAACCCTAGAAAACCAGTCTTACCTGCCCAGAATGTGGCAATCACTCATTCACTCAACAAACATCCTGCAGCAGTTAGGTACAGGCCACCCTGGTGCAGAAATGAAAAGCCAGCATCAGCTTAGGGGACACACTCTGGAGGGAAAGATAAGACACCATCAGGCATTCCATATCCACCCTGAAAAATCTGCATTTTAAGAGAAACTTGAACATGAACTTGTTTAACCCCAGGGTTGAATCTCAAACGTGAAATTGGAGGCCTTGGCAAGGGAGATATTCATGAGTTTAAATCCAGATTCCTATCCACACCCTATCAAACAGCAGTGTGCTCTCTACTCCTTAATGTGAGGCCTCTCAGCTGGATGGCTTCCTCCTGCTTTACTCCTATCCCTAGCTGCCTGGCCTTGGCCCTATACAGTGGCACAGGAGCTAGCCATTCCCATAGAGCAGAGTCCTCTATCTGCACCTTGCAGAGTGCCTCAGCCCATCTTCCCTGTGACCGGACACCTCACTGGCTGCAGGCTCCTGGGCCAGAGCACTTGTACAGGCCAGTACCATACTTGTTTAAAGCCCTCTCCTATCTGCAAGGAGGGCATGCAGGCCAACCCAGCCAGGCCAGAACACCAGGCCCCCTAATACCCCTTGCTCACAAAGCCTCTCTCCTGGGACTGCATCTTCCTGGCAAGCCCCAGCAATTACTCAAGTTCAACAGGCGCTTGTGGTAATGAAGTTAGATGTGACTGAGTCCATTTAATGATATTTAATTATGCACTGCTTTCCCCAACAGGCTTAAGAAGATCTACACTGCCTGCTGACCCTGACAGGATATATACACGGTATATGTATCCCAAGAAGATCTTAGGTCCATTCCTCTGAGATTGCACTTTTGCCTTGGGGAAAATCTCTCTTAGAAAAGAGAGACGTGAAGGTCTTAAGGGAACAATTTTCCCCATTTCCAAAAAGAACATGGGAAGAGTCCATCTGCCTAGTCTCCTAATGCAGCACTGTTTTCTGAGCACCTATTACAGGCCAGACACTATGCTGGGCTCTGGAAATAAAACCTTGAACAAGACACTTGTACACTAAAACCTCTTGCCATGAGATTTCTGGCAATGCCTAGGCTGGTGGACATGGACATGGGCATGGGATAGCAGGGTCTAGAGAAGCAGGAGAAATAGAAGCAGGCTCCAGAGGCCTGTGCACTTCACCTAGGCCTCCATCAGAGAGAGCCTCCTTTCTCCTCCAAGCCCCAGGTCACCACCTGCCCATACTCCCCTGGGTGCTGCTGGTCCCAGTGCCAGGCCCTGGAGAGTGGTCTAGCCAACCTCATGCTCCTGGGAAGCTAGGGGCTGGTAGACTGCAGACCCCTGGGCCATGTCCTCCCTCCTCCTGTCTCAAGCCCATGCCAGAGAGCCCCAGTGAGCAGAAACTCCGCTCCTCCAAAGTTACTTCTCAAGGCTTGCATCCAGGAACTCCCAGGGCTACATCTCCCTAAATGTCAGCATCCCCACAGTTCAGGGATCCCTACACATTCAGCAAGCCTCTGGTGAGATGAAGCACTGAAGAGCCCCGGGACCCTTCAGAAGGAAGACACCAATACCCTCTCTCAGATGAAAGTCCATCATGCCACACCAAGATACCAACCTGCCCAAGACTTACGGTTATGGTCCTTTTGTGCTTTGCTCTTCGAGAAAAGGGAAAGAAGGAATGTGGGAAGGAAAGAAGACAGGAAGTGAATGGAACAAAGGAAAGAGGAAAGAAAGGAGGGAGGAAGAGAGAGGAAATGGAAAGAGACTACGTGTGCACAGATCAGCCTTTTTTGGGATTTTTGACAATGATTATTCTATATTCAGGGAACTGAGGTTTGACCTCATTCAATTCCCCAGGCCTTGTGGTTATTTTCCAAGCTTATCCCAAGGGCAGGGGATAGGGGTGAATCCCTCAGAACAGCTCTTGCTGGAAGACCCCAAGGCATGCAATCCCTCTCCCTCTAGGCAGGGCTATTGACATCTGCTCTGTTGATCTAATTGAAAGTGCATCTGCAATTACTGTTTTGTTTTTTAAGAATTGCTTTTCCTTGACTATTGATCTCCAGGCCTGAGGTACAGCTTCTTTATTAGATCAGAGCCCATCAGTCAAAACAGTAGCATGCCCAGTATGTCACCTGCCAGTATCCATATGACTCACCCCTTGGAATTCTCCCCAGTCAAGGTGGCACCACAAGGCTCACTGTCGATGGGAACTCCTTGGGAAGGACTCTTTTTAGAAAAATGGTTCTTATGTTCTTCTCCAAGGTGCCCTGGGTTTCTAGAACCCTCAAAAAGCATGGGTAGAACAGAAGGGCTGGTTAAAGTCAAATGTCACAGCTGCAAGGAATGGCAGAGAGGACTGCCGTGTGTGTGTGTGTGTGTGTGTGTGTGTGTGTGGTATACACATGCTGGACTGTCCTCAGCTCATGCTCTGGCTAGAGGATCAAGCATTCAGGGGAAGGCACAGCCTTCATCATCCCCAGAAGCCCCAGAGAGCAGGAGTTGCTTCATGATGCTGGTCCATGGAGTCCAACATCAGCCACTCAGCTACCAGCCAGCTGCCCCAGCCCAGACCCAGGGGGAGGATGTGATGCAAGGATGTTGTGTGGAAGGTAATCCCAAGGTGTCCAGGCAAGCAAGAGAATCAGCCAGAACAGCATGAAACCGAGCAGGTTGCTGCTGTGGACATGTCAGGGAGATGGGACAGAGCAGGTCTTAGGCAGTCCCTCTTTGAATGAGCAGGCTGAGGATGACATACGGACCCACTCTGGCCTGTGCCTGGATACAAGGACATTGGCTCCAGCCAGGTCCTCTGTATTCCTGTTTCCAGGATGGCCTACAGGAAAGAGGGAAGAAAGGATGGAGCCAGGCAGATAATGGGCATGGTGAAGACAGGGTCTGCAGCAGGCTGAGTGCTCGGCCCTGGGATAAAATGAGTCACACCAGCACAGCCTAAGGGAGCTTCAGTTGGCACAAGAGCACGGGGTGGGGGTGGCGGGGGGAGACAAGAGACACACCCTGGCAGAGCCTCCCAGGGCTGCTCCATGGCAGCAACATAACCCTTACAACCAGCCCTGGCAGTCGGCCTGGCCTCTGGCCACAGGGTTGGGCAGAAATCCGTGTCTGCTGGCCCAGCCTGCTGTCACCAGCACAAGACAATAACAGCAAAACGAGACCACTAACAGGGTCCACCAGCTCACTCCTCCCACACGCCCAGCCCTGTCTTGGGATGACAGAGAGTAGGCGGAGAAACGTGCTCCTCACATTGGGAGATAGAAGCAGGAGGCAGGGTGCTGCTCTTTCTGAGTCTCCTGGTGATTCATATTCCTCTCACACACAGAGAACCCTCGGAGGGAGGGAGGCAGGGAGGGAGCAGCTCTTTAAGCTGAGATCTCTCCTCTGCCTTTAGTCTAAGCAGGCTGTGTGACCTTGAACACATCACCCAACCTCTCTGGTTCCAGATTCTCCAGGGGGGAAGTTCCAGGTCCACCGACCTCCCAGATGGCCCAGAGTCGGAGACATCAGAATGGAATGAAGTCACCGTGCTCTTCTGTGGCCGCTGGCTGCACACCTTGCCCCTCTGTGTGCTGGCTCTGTCCTTAGGGGCTTCAGCCATGTCACTGTGTGTCCAAAGGAGCCCCCCAAGCCTCCCGCCAGGCCCCGTGTTAACAGACTCTCCTTCCATTATCCCTCCCGTCCTGCGTGATAAAATTGATTAGATCAAAAATCCTAAGATACAGCATCTAAGGGCTACATGGCCACAATGCAGATCCCCACACATGGGCGCCTGTCCTCACAGGCTGACTCAGCTCCCCTGGATTGCAGAAGACACTTTCCTGAGATCTCCCAGCTTATCTTCAGGCCCTCCTTCCTTCTCCTCTTCTGGTCCAGAGACCTCCAGAGCCTCACCTACCTGTGAGCCCAGCTGGCCTCTGGTACATGGAGCACAGCTGGGCCAATAGGAGCCTGCCTTCCTCACACATCCTCCTGCCTCGGCTAGCTCTCTGCAAATCGGTGCTGGCCTAGAGTAGTCAGGGTGTAGAAGGGACACCTCGGTCATCTTGCCCTTCTACCTTTATCACTTTTGCCTTCAAAGAGCTCCAAAGAGGAGCTTTCTGAGTGGCCACTCATTAGGAAGTCTTTACATAGCTTACTGTCTCCCAAGGTGTAAATTCACCTTCGTCCTTGCCTTCTGCTAACAGCAGAGATGGGCCAGAGCAGGCCTCGGTCTCCAAATGAGAGCTCTGTCACCCTGTCACAGCTGCCTCTGTGCCCTGTGGAAACGGTCAGTGAGGAAACAGAGTGAGGACTTCCTGTGTGCCGAGCACTGTGCAAAATGAAGGATTTCACTTGCTATGTGATTATCAGCTTCTCCAGAGGCAGGAAGAGACTAGAGCAGTGCAGGAACTTTCACAAAGCCCACTGCGGGCAACCACAGAGCCAGGATATAGAACACTCCATGACTACTACCAGTAGGCATCTGCTCCTCTCTGCAATTCCTCTCTGCCCATGCCCTGGCCCCTTGGAAACCCCTCAAAAGCCTAGCGACATCTGACTACAGTTACAGACTGAGGAGCTGGATCCCTGCCTGTTGATCCTCAGAACTGCCCTGTATCCCCAGCCACTCCTTAGCCAAGCTCCAGAAAAAAGTGAGTTCTCCCTAGCACAACAGCTGTCAGGCCCCATCCTCTCCAACTGAGCTCCCCAAGCTTGCAGGCTTCCCCTGCCCTCTCGAGGCCTTGGCCCATCTATAAGGGGATGAAGGCAGCACTGGCAGGTAAGAGGCAACCTCACCGTCCAGGCCCCAGCATTCCCAGGAGCAAGTAGGAAGCTAAACATCCACATTTACACTGCAGGTACTGTGGAGGGCAGGTACAGCTGGCACTGGGGGTGTGAGGAGTCCTTGTGCTGGAAGATATGGCCTGGGAGTACTTGGGCTACCTCCCTGTCCTGAAGCAAAGACTGAGGAGACTTCAGTCCAAGCCACTCATATATGCCTTAGTTTCCCTCCCCTGGAGTGGAGGCCATATTTCTCCAGGATCTTGGCAAAGCTCAGCCCCACTCCGAGCAGCATTTCACCTGGCACTCAGCACCCTGC